CACCACCAAATTTGGGATGTTTCCATCCCAAGCCCCAATCCCTGTCCCAAAGCACAATAGAAGTAATATATTTTGTATTGTCTGTTATGAAAAACCGTTGAAAATGCTACAAAAAAGTATTCATAGAGGAGACAGTGTGAAGATTGTTCTATTTTGGCAAGAGCCATTAAGAGATTCTTTAGGATATCACTAACATGTTGTTAAAGGTTGAGTTATGAGCTTTCATGTATATATGAAATTATGTATATATGCATATATATTTCTTTCTATGATTTGTTGTCTACTATTTGAATCGCATCAAGTATGGTGTGGTATTTATGGAGAATGGGTAGGGATGTTTTGTGCAGCCCTGAATGTGGCCGTTTGGCCCAGGAACACGTTCACTTGCTCAGCCTGAGTGTGTGGGGAGCAATCCTGAGCATGGCTTCGGTTGAGTTCCTGAGGTTTTCAGCTGCTAGAGCTGGGTCCCTTGGGGCAGGGAGGGCTCTCACCCACCTCCCTCTGCAGGCCCCGAGTGAAACAGTCTGGTTTGGAGTCAGGTGGCATGGCTATGGGAGTGTCATGTTGCTCTCTTCTGGGAGAAAAAGCCGTGTTATCTGGATGATGGCTGGTGAGGAGATGGGCAGATGGCATTTCTGCTGTGTGTTTTGGGCTCCCCAGAGTAAAAACCCAGAGTGGTTTTTCTGGGTGAAATGGGAGTTCAATTTCTAGCTTTTTAAGGAATATTCATATTGTTTCAGAAAAAGGCGGGGCCAATCAGCATTTCCACCAACAATGAAGGAGAGTCCATTTCTCCCCACATCTACACCAGCATTGGTTGCTTTTGTTCTTTTGAATGTGTGCCAGTCTCTGTGATGCGAGATTATATCTCATCGTTTCTTGATTTGTGTCTCCCTGATGATTAGTGATATAGAGCAGTTTTTCATGTGCCATTTGTCCATTTGAGTTTCTTCTTTGGGAAAGTTTCTGTTCATTTTTTTTCTACCAATTTTCGATGGGGGGGGGATGTCTTTTATTGTAAAGCCCTACAGTCCATTATAAAGGCCCTCCCGTTGATCGTCAATTTGCTCGAGCGGGCCCAGTAACATCTCCATTGGAGACTTTGTTGTTACTGTGTCTGGCATATCGAATACTCTCGGTAGCTTGCCGGGCTCTCCGAGAGGGGCGGAGGAATCGAACTCCAGTCGGCCATGTTGGCCGCTTGTAAGGCGAACGCCCTACCCGCTGTGCTATCGCTCCAGCCCATTATATACTTTGATATTAAGTATTTATTAGATGGATAGCACGGTACCACTGTCCGCCTGTTGTTCATTGATTTGGTCAAGCGGGCACCAGTAACGTCTCCATTGTGAGACTTCTTGTTACTGTTTTTGGCATATCGAATACGTCACGGGGAGCTTGCTAGGCTTTGCTGTGTGGGTGGGATTCTCTTGGTAGCTTGCCACGCTCTCCGAGAGGGGCAGAGGAATCAAACCCAGGTTGGCCCCGTGCAAGGCAAAATTTTCCATTCCCTGGGTTGTCTTTGTATCTTTGGCACCATTTCAATTGAGGTACACAAACGTCTTAGTTTAATACTGTCCCATTTGTTTATCTTTGCTTTCACTTACTTGGTCAATGGTGTTTTATGTTTGAAAGTGCCTTTAGCTTCAAGGTCATGAAGGGTTTTGCTACAGTTTCGTCCATGTGTCTAATGGATTCAAGTATGATGTTGAGGTCTTTAATCCATTTTAAACTGACTTTTGTGCCTGGTGTTAGATAAAGGTCTGAGTTCATTATTTTTTTTAACATGTAGATGTCCAGTTTACCCAGCTTGGAACGTCTTCAAGAACATCGAAGAAATAGCTAAGAGGACGAAGAACCTCCGGCTCCGGGCACATCTCTTTGATTCCACTGTTCTTCCTGCATTAACATATGCCTCAGAGACCTAGGCCCTACGCAAACAGATTAGAACGCTATTCAGGTCTCCCAAAGAAGAATAGAAAGAGCTATGCTTGGAATATCACGTTTCACTCAAATGAGAGAAAAAATCTGGAGTTCCGACATCCGTAGACGATCAAGAATCAGGGATGCTGTCTCATTTGCCAAGGTGTCAAAAATCAGATGGGCTGGTCACGTAATGAGATTTAAAGACGACCGCTGTACTAGAGCTGTTACTGACTGGATTCCACGGGATGTCAAAAGACCGCGTGGCTGCCCACCTTCCAGATGGTCAGACTTCTTCGTGAGGATCATGAGCGATCGGTTTGAGGCTCTTCATGTTCCCAGAGTGAACAGATGCCATTGGGCTACACTAGCACGCGACAGGGACAAATGGAGACGTTGCTGGCGCCCGCTTGAGGAAATTGACGACTAACGGGAACTTAAGTGATTAAGTGATTTAAGTGATCTTGCTGCATTCAGTATCTTATCTCTGTCTATGGTGTTCGTCATTCAGTTTAGGAGATGTCTTGGAGTCTTTTGTTAGGGTCCCTTTTAGCTGGTACACTTTGGGATTCTTGGATCTGGATGCCTGTGTTCACCAACTATGAGAACTGTTCAGAAACAATGTCTGTCACTGTTACTACTTCATTGGGGTTGTCTCCCTGTCTCTCTGGAACTCTGAGGATTCTTACGTTCTTTCTCCTAATTCATTCTACAGTTCTCTGTTCTTCCTTTGAGATATTTTGAGGATTTTCATTGTAATTGTTGTCTGTAGGTTTTCTGCATCTCACTCTCAAGCTTACTAATTTTGTATTTGCCTGTTGTTTCACTGATGTTGAGATGACCCACTGAGTTTTTCATTTCAACCACTGAATTTTTTATCAATGCCCTTTATGTTCTAGTGTCAACTAGGTTGCCCAGAGTGTAAACTAATTGTTTTATTTTTATTTTTCCTTATTGAATATATAAGCAGGTCATCTGAAAGCATCTGATGATGCGACCACACAAGTCATGTCTTTCTGAAGTATTGCTGTTGCACAAATGGTTCTAATTTCAGGAGCAGAGGTGACAGGAGGAGGAAGGTGAGGGTGAGTTCTCTACATTGCTGGGAGAGAGACAGCAGGAGGGAAGCCAAGGGGCCAGGCATAAAGGAACTTCAGCCACTGACTCTGATTCTACTGCTAACTTCACTGTTCACTATGGGAATGATTCTCTATTACTAAGTGAGCTACTCATTCGCATCAAATAATAGATATTTTAGCTTACTACCTAGTACTGATATTTTCTGTTTAATGTTGGTGGTTTCTTTTCAGGCCAGTTAAGTTAATAAAGGTATGCACTTAATGGTAACCCTTCCCTTACCTGCATGCACACAGGTTCACACACAAACATGTAGGAATTGAGATGCTGCGACTTACAGCAGGTGTCTGGGGCCCGTGAGCACCACAGTAGAAAGCTGAGACGCTCCATAAACATTGGCAAGGGCAATGCCTGTTCCGTACTCAGGAGCAGAGAGTCAAGGTCCTGCTCCCCAGGGGGTCTGGGGACCCTTTTATGATGTGAAGCCTCAGGCCCAGGACTGAGGAGAGAGCTGAGGAGCTCCAGGGGCCCCTTATCAAAGATAAACCGTGTTCATCTGAGATGACTCTTACCCGTAACCAGTTGTTGTGACCTAAATGGGCTTGATACTCTTCTTCAGGTCACTCAGGGAGAGACTGCTCCCTGTACAATGCTTGTCCCTGGGGGGTTGCTTGTGTGCAGAAGAGAATATCAATTGGAAAATTTGCCAGCATTAGAGATTGATCACTGGGCCCACACTCTATGAGAATGTATCTCTGAAACCCGAGGATGCACGGGATGCTGTTGTCATGTGTATCCCTTGACTGGGCAGCACACACCTGGTCTAAATGTGGGATGGAGCATGGGCTCATCGTCTGTTGTCATGGGAACTCTAATCAGAGAAGTGACCTCCTTTGCAATTTATGACAGAAAATAGGGCAGAAGAAAGGAGGCTGCAGAGAAACCCTACGGTGGATACATGGTGATAATGTGATGAAGAGACAGAGGTGGATGAAGATGAGTCAATGCTCTGACCATTATAAACCTCATTTTTTAGCATGAAGAACAGGTGCCCTCAGCAACCTGGGCACGTCATGTCTTAACTCATCTGATCTCCTTCAGATGCCAGGAGACTGACTTTTGATTCATTGGAGGGATAAAGGTGTAAGCACACATGAAGTAGAGAGGATAAGTCCAGTAAAACAAACAAGGGGGGTAATCAATGATTAAAAAGCATGTTTATCTTGTGATCTCTAAGTTACAGTCTTCTTTTGATATAGTCATGTCAAGTAAAAGTGCCTTATCAAATTCGGAGATATCAGTGTGTTGGGATTGGGAATTCCCTAGCCCTGGGAGGTGCGGAGAGACCAGACAGACACAATTGCTGCAGGAGTAAAAACGGGGTTTCTTGCTGGAGCTCCGCAGCATACCTCAGAGTGGGCAGTGGCTGAGAACCCCGAGCTTCTTCAAAGGGGGTCTTATATAGGCTTTCATCAATTGTTATAACAAAACCCGTGCATTCCAAAGATCATAGATTCAAAAGTCAGCAGTTACATACATTGATTTTCAGCAGCACAAGCAAGGTTATGGCCAGAATCATTAAGTCTTTAGTGAGACAATACATTCCAGGAACGGGCAATTTCCCCCAACCACCCGCATCCTGAGTTATCCTTTACCCCAGTCTGCGGGGTGCTTTACTGAGACAATACATTTCAGGAACAGTAAATACACCTGAATCCTGTCACAAAAGGAGCCAAGCAGTTTTACAGAAAACAATGTGCAAGTTAGCTGAAGCACGCAAAAATTTGATGCCCTAGCATGGATTCTTTCAAGTGGAAGGCTCAGAGTCAGGAACGTAGAAAATGTTCCCTGGAGGGACCTTTGATGAGAATCAGGAAACCAGTCACCCATCAGCTCCTGCTCCTCTGAGATGTATCCTCTAGGTAGAGGTCGTAGCGCCCCCTTCTGGCTGTGGTCTCCGGCAGTCCACACTCTCCCAGCAGGGAGGTTTTTGTCTGGGCTTACCCTGACTTCCCATCACTGTGCTTACTTCTTGCACAGTAATACACGGCTGTGTCCTCGGGGGTCACAGAGCTCAACTGCAGAGAGAACTGGTTCTTGGAGGTGTCAGCCGTGATGGAGATGCGGCCCTGGAATGCTGGGTTGTAGCTGGTACCACCGCTCCAGTACCCCATCCATTCAAACCCTTTCCCAGGGCTCTGGCGGATCCAATTCCAGTAGTAACTGCTGCTGACAGAGCCACCAGAGACAGAGCAGGTGAGGGAGATGGTCTGGGAGGGCTTCACCAGTCCTGGGCCCGACTCCTGTAGGGTCAGAGCAGACACAGTACCTGGGGACAAGGGGAATCAGTCACTGTCAGTCCCTGCAGTCACTCCATCCCCTAGACCCTGACACATCTGGGACACTCACCCAGGGGGCCTGTCCCCAGGCAGAGGAGAAGACCCCACAGAATCATCTTCTTTTCGGTCAAAGCTATGCCTTCCCCAGAGACTCAGCCCTGAGTGAGGAGACAGCTGTGAGCTCCAGAACCCAGAGAGCATTTGACCCCGGAGCCTGAAAGGGATTTGCATGAGGTGACCCAGTCTGTTATAAGGGGAAACTATCTTACCTTGGATCTCCTTGTCCCATTGGGGTGCTGATCTCACACACCCTATCTGGTGATGAGTACTTGCTGATGAAGCACATTGAAACAGGTCATAGGAGACTCCTCACTTATTTTAATAATCTGTCTTAGTCAAGTTAAAATGATCACAATTATTTCAATTTCAAGTTGCCAGTGAAAATACTTTGCATTGTTTATGTTTTAAAAACTTTTTAATATAACCACCATTTAGAATGTTTATAATTATAATCATACTTAAATTTGTTTCATATCTGTCTCTCTCTAAAATAATATCCAAATTAAAACTGCCCTTCTCAATACTCATTTCTTTCAGTAAATAAATTATGACATAGTTGTATCTGATAATTGTTTGCAAAGTACGTAGTCAATAGCACATAGTACAATTGAAAATTTCTGTTTGAGTTTTATTTTTGCTTTTTTTTTTTGTTTTGGGGCCATACTCAGTGATGCTTGGTGGTAACCCCTAGCATTGCACTCAAGAGTTACTTCTGGCAATGGCTGCTTCATTCTGGGCAACCAGGAGGGGGACCAGGTGAGGCTCCTTCAGCCCCAACTGAGGCAGCCCCAGCAGCCGAAAACCTCTAGAACTCAATCACTGCCATGCTCAAGGGTGCTCTCCACGTGCTTGAAAGGGACTCACTCAAGAGCCAATCTATTTCTGGACATGTTACACTTTCACTGTATCACTGTCATCCTGTTGTTCATTGATTGCCTCGAGCAGGCACCATTAACGTCTCCTTCGTCCTAGCCCTGAGATTTTAAAAAGTGACACATCTGAGGCACTTTTAGAGTCAGGGGAATGAGACCCATAATTGTTACTGGTTTTTGGCATATTGATCACGCCACGGGGAGTTTGCCAGACTCTGCCATGCAAGCAGGATACTCTTGGTAGCCTGCCATGTTCTTCAGAGTAAGAACTAGATAATAAGATGTCGGGTGGGGAGGGAAACTCAACCCACCCTCCACCAAGGGGCCCTTGTGAGGACAGCCAGGCACGGAGGCAGGAGACTCCGGCTGTTCTCTTCCAGAAGCAGGGTTTTATAGTCTCTGGGTCTTGGCTGTTGATGGGATTACATGGCGCCAGGGGGCAGTTGGTTGATGTAACGCCTACATAGTGGAAGATGGGGGATCTGGGTGGAGGAGACCCCAGTTCCAATCCGAGCAGGCTTGAAGATCTATATCAAGGGTCCCACACACCTGGGTTCCTCTGCCTGTTCCTTCATGCGTGAGGCTTGTCCGAACGTGTGGAGAGTGGTCATAAGCATGGTGTGGCTGGAACTGGAGGACTTCAGCTGCTGGGGCTCTGCTCGGGATGGGGAGGGAAACTCAACCCACCCTCCTCCAAGGGGTCTCGGTGAGGACAGCCAGGCGCGGGGGCAGGAGACTCTTTAAGCTACCAATATACCAAGAATAGCACACCTCATTTGATGGGGTTTAAAGTAGAAGGCTATATTGAAGGAACAATATAGCCTGCCCACAGGGCAGAGTCTGGCAAACTCCCCGTGGCACACCAAATATGCCAAATACCAGTAACAATGATGGGTCTCATTCTCCTAAAAGAGCCTTGAATATAATCTCAGGGCTAGGATGAAAGAGACGTTACTGGGGCCTGCTCGAGGCAATCGACGAATAACAGGATGAATGAATGAAAAGTAGAAGGCAACCAATCTTAGTGCTAAATATATTTATAAATACATACAAATATATATCACTTGATCACTTGATACCCCATTACTCATCGATTTGCTCGAGCAGGCTCCAGTAATGTCTCCATTCATCCCTGTTGCGTGCTAGCATAGCCCAATGGCATTTACTCGTTCTAGGAACATGAAGAACCTCAAACCAATCATTCAGGGTCTTGACGAAGAAGTCTGACCATCTCGTAGGTGGGCGTCCACGCGATCTTTTGACATAATGTGGAATCCAGTCAGTAATGGCTCTAGTCCAGCGGTCATCTCTACACCTCATTATGTGTCCAGCCCATCTGATTTTTGATGCCTTGGCAAATCAGACAGGGTCCCTGATTCTTGAGCGTTGACAGAGATCAGAATTCTGCATTCTATCTTTCATATGAGTGAAGTGTGTTACTCCAAGCATAACCCTTTCGATTCCTCTTTGAGAGACCCGAATAGCATTCTCATCCTGATTTTGTAGGGCCTATATATATATGTATGTATAAAGGTAAAGGCCCTCCCGTTGATCGTCGACTTGCTCGAGCGGGCCCAGTAACGTCTCCATTGGAGACTTTGTTGTTACTGTGTCAGGCATATCGAATACTCTCGGTAGCTTGCCGGGCTCTCCAAGAGGGGCGGAGGAATCGAACTCGGGTCGGCCATGTTGGCCGCTTGTAAGGCGAACGCCCTGCCCACTGTGATATATATATATATATATATATATATATATATATATATGCAGATAAGTGTCAACCTTTACAGCATGTTACTAATATCTTTTAGAAGGCTTAATGACCTTTGGGTGAAATACAAAAATCTTCACACATTTTCCTCTGAGGAAATTTTTGTCTCATTTTTAGTAGGTTTTTCATAACAATCAATACAAAATAAATTATTTTAGTTTTGCTTTGGGGGCAAGGTCTGGGGCTCAGAATGGAAATCTGATAGTGGGAAGATGTAATGGTGGTGGGATTGGTGTTCACATATTAAATGCAATTAAATATTGTGAACAACTTTATAAAAATAAAATTAATTTTTTAAAAAATATTACTCCGTGCAGTGCTCGGGGGACCATATGTGATGCTGGGGATGACCCCCCATTGGTGAGTAAAGAAAAGCAAACTATCAATTGTACTATCACTCTGGCTAGCTGATTTTTGCATTTTCGAGTTGGGTTCTATTCTACCATGCATTCTTATGGGGCAGACATTTGTTATAGGCTACATTTAAACTATTCTATATGTTCCTTTTAATTTTTTATGGAATCTGTAGTTTCTCTAACTTTCAAAAATAAACCTACAACTGCCACGTCTCAGTGTTTCCACTGAAGTCACTTTGCTTCTGTCCATATCTGTGCATCTTTTATTTCTATCAGAGCTTGGGTGTCACTGCTCAGGGGTCCTGCTGTTCCCACCCTTGTCACACTCCACCAGTGCCACAGTCGGTTCTGTTGCTCCATCAGGTGTCTTTGCCAGTGGGTAACATTCAATGACATTTAAGGGGAACAAGTGTCCTGGGAGGAGTGGATTTCTGGAGATGACTGAAGGGCGTCTGACAGACCCTTTCCCCAAATCCCCTTGTCACTGCAGACCCTGGCAAAAGCTCAGTCTGAACTGACATGTTCATACTGGGTCACTGATGGAAACTATGTTATCTCTCCCTCTCTCCCTCTCTCCCTCTCTCTCTCTCTCCCTCTCTCTCTCTCTCTCTCTCTCTCTCTCTCTTTCTCTCTCTCTCTCTCCCTCTCTCCCCTTTCTTACTTCACACACTGTGACTTAGAAATTTGTTCACAATACAGTTGTTTCAGGTATTCAGCATGCCAACAACTGTCCCACCACCCATGTGTTCTTCCTTCCACCAACAACCCCAGTTACCCACCGCCCAAGCCGGCTCCCTGATCAGACACTAATTAATTGATTTTAGACTGTTTGTTACAACATCTGTCTCCTAATGGTGTTGCTACAATCTCGGTCTGAGGATTTCCTGAGCTGTCAGGTGTGCTTGAGCCTTCTGCGGTAGTGTTTCACTCGTTCCTATCTAATTTCCACGTTTCTCCTGGGCTGGCAGCCCTGTGAGTTTGGGGCTGTTGCATAGTTTCATAGGTGGCGACAGGCCTCAGGATTTGAGCTGAGACCCTCAAGTGCAAGTGATTCTCTGACCTCTCTGAGATGAATCATGAAGACAAGCCATTTTCTGACTGTGGCCAGAGTCAGATACGGGTGGGGGAAGCAATGGGCCTTGGGCAAGGCAGGGACTCGGTCTGTCCCCCTCCAACCCAGGGTCAAGAGATCTTGAATCCGGGGAAGTTGGGCCTTCCAGAGCTCCTCCCCCAAGGGACAGTCCAGCCAGGCCATTCCCTTCAGGTGACAGACGCTGAGGAGCACAGAAACCATGAGGCCTGACCGAGGGTTTATATCAGAGTTTGGATACCTCCATGCCCCGTGTTTGAGAGTTAGATTTCCTCATAATAAATTAATTGATTTTAATCAATAAATTAATCTCATCACCAAGCTCTGTAAGTTTGTAGTATCAAGCAATACTGGAAACTGCCTTTGAATTATTGTCATTTCCTTGTTTTACTTGATTTATTCTTCCAATAATATCAGGTATAATAATATTTTATACCAGGCTGTCTTCACTGAGGGCACCTCAGAGGGGAGCAGGCGAGAGCCCTCCCAACCCCAACGGACCCAATCCTGGCAGCCGACCGACGTCCACTACCCAACCGCCACCACACTCCAGGCTGCTTTCCAAACTGTGGCCACGCGACACATTTTAAGATACTTCCTACCCAGTTCTCCGTGATGTATTCGATATGCCAAAACCGGTAACTATAACAGGTCTCATTCCCCTGACCTGAAAGAGTCTCCAATCATTGAGAAAGATGGGTAAGCAGAGGCTGCTAAAATCTCAGGGCTGGGACGGATAGAGACGTTACTGGTGCCCGCTCGAGTAAATTTGACAATGAGATGACAGTGATACAGAAATAATAGCATTTTGATTTCTAGACTTGACACCCTGTGAAAGTTGCTC